GGACTTTACGTCATACTTGCAATTAATTATCACCATGGCCAAATCAGTGGAACTTGATATAGAGCAACCTCTTCCTCCCAAACAGGACCTTGTTTTCAATGATATAAACCAAGATAAATTCCCCCCATTGAGTTTGACTTTTATTCCAGCTATGTTGGATCTCATAAAGGAATCATGGAATCAACTATCTATGTCTCTTCAAATCTCTAGACGTGTTGAAAATCATTACAGGACACACGGCAGCAACACTACTTTCCTCACTAGGCACCCTGCACTGAATTCCATTATAGTGTAATCCAATCAATCAAAGGTTGGAAAATGTTCTAAGGTCACTCCTACCAATAAGGAAGGCTGCAAACTAGATGAACTGGGCCGTCGCCTCTACTCTCTGGCTTCATTTGTAATGAGAGTTTCTAACTAGCAGGCAGGTGCCTATCAGAGGCAATTATGGAACAAAGTTTTGCCAGTTCTTCAAGCTGCTCCTGAAGAAACTAGGACTGCTTCTCTCAATGTTCACCTGGAAGCATTGATGCTGGCTAAACAACGTTTGGCATCACGTCATACAGCTGATGCAGCATCCAAGGCCATGACATTGGTTATTGCTCTCAGGAGGCACGCTTGGCTGCGTTCAGCAGAAATCAATGACAATGCTTTGAAGAAGTCCCGTTTGATGGTGTCGGCCTTTTTAATGAGAAAATGGATGAGGTGATGGACAATTTACATAAGATCCGGAAGACAGCTCACTCTTATTATGTCCAGCAGCCCCAATACCAATGTTATCAGTGGCATAGGCCTTTCACTCACAGCAATCTTATGATCAAATCTATCACCCTTACAAAACTCCTGCTCAAGAAAGATCAAATCCTCCTCTGTCTTCTTCTGCTACCACCTCTTTCCAGTCACAAGCTTCTGGTCAATGTTGACAAGCTTTCCATCGCCCTGCCAAGAAGAATAAACAATATCTTTGTCTGTCCTTGTCTGAATCCTTCCATCGGTTTATCCCACCTTCCCCAGCTAGCTCCCTTTTTTTGACAAGTGGTCTATCATCACCAAAGATATTTGGGTGCTAGCCATCATACACTTTAGTTACCTTTAGAGTTCTCAGATCTTCCCCCTGTAAGTCACCTCAAGGTCACAGCTTACTCACCTGCTCTAGAAAATGAAGCCTGTGTTCTTCTCCAGAAGCATGTTATTCAACGCGTTTCTTTTCAAGAAGCACTGGACGGCTTCTATTCCTGATATTTTACAGTTCCCAAGAAGGATGGTGGACTACGACCGATCTTAGATCTCCAGCTCCTCAATACTTACTTTCGTCCAAGGCATTTCCGAATTGTCACCTTAGAGTCGGTCATTCCACTTCTTTCTTCAGGAGATTGGTTTGTGGTGATAGATTTACAAGACACTTAATTTCATATTTCTATCCACGAGCGTCATCCCAAATATCTCTGCTTCATCTTCATGGAGTCAGTGTACCAATTCTGTGCCCTACCATTTGGGCTTGCAACCGCACCAAGGACCTTCACAAAGTGTTTGGCTCCAGTAGCAGCATACCTGTGTTTGCACAATATCATGGTCTTTCCTTATATAGACGACTGGTTGATCATTGCTGGCTCTTACACCAAGGCACAGGAGGATACAAATTTTGCTTGACAAACTCTGGCAGATCTAGGCCTCCAGGTCCACTTTGTGAAGTCCCATCTTCAACTGTCTCAGACCATGGACTACTTTGGGGCTCGCTTGAATTCCAACAGAGCCAGGGTCTTCCTTCCTTTTGAAATGATTTACAAATTGAGCCGGGCTATTCATCTGTTCCGCCCATACGCCAGGTTTTCTGCTCATCACACGCAACATCTTTTAGGCCCCATGGCTTCCACCACGTCTGTTTTTCCTCACACTCGGTCGAAGATGCGATCTCTGCAGGTGTGGTACCTGTCTCAGTTTAATCCTCTATTAGACAACCCTGCCAAATGCCTATGTGTGACTCCAGAGTTAGCAAGTCAACTGATGTGGTGGACTTCTGTGCCGCATCTTCTAATTGGCCGACTTCAGGCCCCTCCAGCTGACAGTCCAGATCACAACGGACGGCAGCTCAACAGGTTGGGGTGCGTATTGTGGCGTTCACAAGATCCACAGCCTGTGGTCCAGCTCAGAGAAGCTGATGCATATCAACCGTCTTGAGATGTTGGCAGTAATCAAGGCTCTTTGTGCTTTCTATCCTCTCATGGTCGGTCGTGGAGTACAGGTGGCTATGGACAACCCGACCATTCTGTATTACATAAACAAGCAGGCAGGCACTCACTCTTTGTCCCTTCTGTATTTAGCGATCCACCTTTGGGAGTGGTGCTACGATCGCCACATATTTCCGGTTGCCATCCATGTATTGAGAGGACAACAATGTGGCCTATTTCCTGAGCCAACTAACCACTCTAACTCATGAGTGGGTTCTCAACAACTCTGTTCTCCCATATCTGCAACAGGTGGGGCACACCAACCATTGATGTCTTTGCTACTCAGATCATCGCAAAATGCAAAAAGTTTTGTTCTCGAGCAGGGAGAGGCACGGGCTCCTTGGGCGATGCCTTCATGGTGTCTTGGAATGCTGTCCTTCTTTATATTTTTCCTCCCATCCCGCTCATTTAACAGACGATTATCACGATCCGCCAGTTGCGAGCCAATGCAATTCTGGTAGCTCCATGGTGGCCTCAGCAACCATGGTTTACCAGCCTCAAGACCATTGCATCCAATTTCCTGAGACTGCATCCCAACCGTTCCTCCTAACTCGGGACGGAGGCAAGGTCTGTCACCCCGAGATCGAGTCGCTTCATCTCACAGTATGGAGGATTCTACCAGTATAAAGGAAGTGTTGGACAGAGCTAGAAAGCCTTCAACCAAATTGTTATATTCTTATAAGTGGTCTGTTTTTACCAAGTTGGCTATTTCTGGACAGTTTTTTTGGCTGTTTCAACTTTGTTAGATACCCTTCTCGCTTTCCTACGTTATTTGATCTAAGGCTGGCACATTCTATACTAAAGGTTTATATTTCAGCTATTGTTTCTTGTCAGCCTGTGGGTTCAGACGCTTCCTGTTTATTTTCACACCCAATCATGAAGAGGTTCCTTCAGGTTTGTGTAACATTCATCCACCTGTACGGCCTCCAATCCCTCAATGGTCTCTTCAGACTATTTTGCGGGCTCTTGCGTGTCCACCGTTTGAACCTATGGCTTCTACCCCTCTAAAACTTCTTTCAGTTAAGACTTTGTTTCTTGTGGCTGTTACATCTGCACGAAGAGCAAGTAATGGCTGCACTATGTCTGATGCCCTATATATACAGTTTCACCCGGACAGGGTCATCTTATATCCTGATGTGTCATTTCTCCCTAAGGTGATTTCGAGTTTTCATGTTAATCAACCTCTGATCCTCCCAACGTTGTTTCCTAATCTCTTTTCCGATATTGAACGCATGCTCCATTCTCTTGATGTTCGGCATGCTTTGGCCTTTGACATTTCTAGAACTAAGGGCTTCCGCAAATCTCCTAGACTGTTTGTTTGCTTCCGCAATCCTCAAAAAGGTTATCTGGTTTCTTCTCAGACAGTTTCCAGATGGATAGTTTTTGCCATCGCTTCAGCCTATGAGCTGGTTGGCAAGCCCCACCAGAAGTATTGAAGGCACATTCCACTAGAGCTGTGGTTTCCTCTACTGCCCGGCTTCGTGGCATTGAAGTCTCTGACATTTGTCGATCAGCTCTTTGGTCTACCTTTGTGACACATTACAGGCTGGATGTCAGAGCCAAAAAGGAAGCAAGTTTTGGAAGGGCTGTGCTGACTTCAGTTTTACCATGACGGCCCTCCTTCTGGTAAGTGAGCTTGCTAGGCACCCATTTGTGTGCATTGACAGAGACCACGAAGAAGAAAGAGGTTACTTCTTTGTGGCCTCTGTGAATACACACATATGGGTTTACTCTGCGCCTGCGCTGACCTTCTCGGAGCATTCCAGAGCTAAAAGTAACAATTTTATGGGACGATCCCCCAAGAGGCACATGCTCCTCCCACCCAATATTCCCCTCAGTTCCTTTTTTCCGCTGTGCTGTAAAGTTCTACAGAGATATAGAGCTATTTCCACAGGGTTTTTCCCCTTAGTTATGCATCAATTCCCTTTTAATGGGATACTTCCCCTTCTCAGTTATTCAGTCTACGATCCCCCGTGAGTTGTTTTTCGTTTCGGTTCAACCTTTCTATTTCTTTCAAGTTTTCCCGCCTTTTCTGGCCTCCTGGGCCCCATTTGATTCTCAGGCACGTTTATGATTCTTCTGCCTGAGTGAACTACGTTTTACCCAGATGCAGCCGCGCGGACTCGCTTATACAAGTTTGCCTTTTATTCCGCTTTTCGAAGAGAAATCGATCGAAGGACAGTCCGGTTCCTCTCACATAGCTATCCCATTTACCCATGAGAGAACCCTTCAATACCACAACAGAGGATTCTTCGATGGAGTGATT